GCCTCATGCTCTCAAATGCCAGCTGTAGTTAGGAGAGAGATGTTAGAGCACTTGGAGGGGGTTAAAAATAACAAAGAGCAAGTGAGGAAAAGATATGAAGAAATTGTCAGAATTGTAGATATTTTTCAAGTTCAAGAAGAAGAAGAAGATATATATGCCGAGGTTGGATCTTCTGGTAGGGTAATGGGGCCCATGCATAAAAGGCCTCAAAGAAGAGGGCCAATGGATTTAAACTACATTGGAAGCAGTGGGGAAATTTGGGCTAGGGTATAGGGCCCCACTGCTTATGAGCTTAAGTTGCCATTGCGTAGAAAAAGTTCATTTTACTAATAACATTTTGAAGACCCACATGGATGCATTGGAAATATACAGTTGCACTAGTATGACTGATGGTTGGAGTGATAAGAGAAATAGAAGCATTATGAATTTGATGGTGAATTGTCCATTAGGGACGATTGTTTTAAGGTCTATTGATGCTTCTAAGAAGTTCCATGATGCGACCTTCATTTTCGGTGGACCGGTACATAGAGGAGGTTGGGGAGGACAAAGTGGTCTAGGTAGTGAGCGATAAGTACTTAGCCAATATGGAGGCAGCTAAGTTATTGATGGCATAGCGGCCACATATTTTGTGATCACTTTGCACAACACACTGCATAGACCTCATGCTTCAGGCGATTAGTAAGAGGAAGTTGATGTTCGTATCTATGGATTGGACCAAGTCCTAGTGGACCAAGAGATCAAATGAGAAAGTAGTGATGGAGATTGTCTTTTGGAATGGGGTTTAGTATACCTTATGTGTTTTTTAGCCACTAGTAAAGGTACTCAATTTGGTTGATGCTGAGAAGGAACCCACATTGGGTCACATTTATAAAGTTAGGCGGGATGCAAAGGAAGAAATGAAGAAATGTTTTGAGAATGATGAAGCTAGTATGGAGAATATCTGAAGATTATAGAAGATAACTAGAACTGCCAGCTTGAGAGGTACTTATACTTAACAGGGTACTAACTACTTTAACCCTGCTCACTTTTACACTGATCATGAGATACATAGCAAGACTGAGTTCATGGAAGCAATCCACCAATGCAATCTCAAACTCAACCCTGATCTTGAAGTCCAAGATAAGGTCACAATGGGTTTAGATAAGTATAAGTTCACAACTGGGTTTCTTGGAAAGGAGTTGTCAATAAGGTAGAGGTCTAAGCTCTCTCCTGGTAAGTTTAGAACTTCTTCATTTTGATTTCATGATTTGAGTATAAAATTTCAATTATACAGATACATTATGTATGTGAAATATCTGCATGGTGGACAGGCCATGGGGGAAGCGCCCCCCACATTTGCAGCAGATGGCCATGCGTATTTTGAATCTGACTTGTAGCTTGTTTGGTTGTGAATGCAACTTCAGCACGTTTGAAATGGTAATGTTACTTAATTTACTTAGTTAGGTTATTAGCCTAACATACATTAGGTGTTTCTCAATTTTAAATTTTCATTCAACATTTATCTAATAGGTCCATACAAAGAAGAGGAACAAATTTGAGCAAAAGTAACTGAATGATCTTGTCTTCATTCAATATAATCAAAAGCTGCAGGAGCGCCATCAAGAGCTGTAGCACAATGAAAGCGATGCTATTGAAGTTGATGATATGGATGATACTAACCAGTGGCTAGTTGATGCTGGGGATGATGAGGCATTCCTTGGATAGGGCTTGACCTGCGACCAAGTTTGTGAGGCTGCTGGGACACCATTGAGCCCTATGTGGATCATTCGATCTCAATCTCAAAGCCAAAAGGAAGGGGGGGCGGGGGGGGGGGGGGGGGTGGTAGAGAAGAAGGGGAAGAGGTTGATGGGATTGAGAGAGGATGACGCAGATTTAGATGAGACAAAGGATGGTGCTCAATATGTTGAGGAAGCGGCTCTGATGATGATGGCATGGAATCATCATTAGATTTTATTTGGCGTGGTGATGACACAAAATTGTCGTTTAAGTTATTAAGCAAGTACATCACATGTAGGCAGTGGACATCATGCTTTAGTCATTGACTTTTGATGGTTACTTAATCACTTTATGTAAATTTTATATCATAATATGTACTCTGAGTTTTGTTGCAATTTGATGATTTTTGTCTCTATAATTATTTATTCTTTATTTTCGGGGGCTTTGGGGCTCTAAAGCTGCCCTAAGAACCCTAAATCCCTGCCCTAAAAATTCCCTGGGGGCGTAGCTTGTACTTGTTCCTGGGCGAGTGCCTAGGCGGCCAAGCCCCCCAACCGCATAGGCTGGCACATCCGACTTTTTGAATTTTGGGCATTTTCTAACAAATGATTGTGACTTCAAGAACAATTAAAATGGTTCATCTTTAGCAGATTACAAAAATTTTCTTGTCGCTTTTTGTTAGATAGAATGCAGGATATCATTCGCCAAAATGATGGAAGAGGAAAATCCCGATTAAAGTTCTCTATCCGTCCACAGTTATATATAAAAGCAGTTTCATGGCCATCAGTTCCAAAGGATGACTGTTTGTGTGGGCTTTCTGAAGGGCTAGCTGAGTTAGAGGATTATGGGCATACAAGAACACAACAATCTATAGCAGAACGACTGCATTATCTTCTTGAAAAAAATGATTCACCAAATTGGCCTTCTAACACAGTTAGCATTCTTACTTTTGTAGTACATGTTCAATATTTTATTTTTAGTATGATTATTGGTTTTGATTCTATATCGCTGGTTGTAGGTAAGGAAAGGAAAGGGGAAGAAAAAATTCTTTACAGGGAAAGAAACCTTATCTTCATTGGCTTACAGATGTATTGACAATGAAGACACCTGTGAGCCTTTGGACAGCGTGGTGTCAGGTGATGGTGCGGTATCCTTAATTTTTCAGAGTTCTTCTGCAGACTTCTTCAAATCTGTTTTTTGGCTGGTTTCTTCAGTTTTTTGGCATTCTGATACAATGTTTTAAAATGCGGCCCCATCAGGCGGTGTGCGGTGGGCATGGCATCGGAAAAGACCGCATATGGGGTTTGGAGGTATGTGGGCGCATATGTGCCGCATCATAGCTCATCCGAGCCCCATAGCGCACATCACCCGCATATGCCCGCATAATTTTCCACCTCTTTTGGACCATCAAAACTTGGGGGAAATAGTTTGCGGGGGTATTAAACCCCCTAAACGAGCATTTACAGCCACTTTCGTGGCTTTTTTGGGATCAAATCGAGCAAAAAAAAAAAAAGGCGGAAATTGTTTTTTACTAGATCTTGGATTTGGGGATTGTTTGATACTTGGATCTTGATTTGAACCTTTTGGTTGTTGATTTGGGGAAGTTTAGGTGGTTTTGTGACAAGAAATCGGGGGTTTCAAAGGCTGTGAAGAAATCAAGCACTGCTTCAAGAACCGGTAACTTTTTATTCCTTGTACAGTAATACTTATTTTTGGGGCAGTGTCTTCTTTCTAATCTTCTAGTAATAAGGATCCGGCTTGGAAATAGGCCAAACTAAAAAATCCAAAAGATAGAAATCGTGTGATTTGCATGCTCTGTGGAAATACTTATATGGGTGATATTTTTCGACAAAAACAACACTTAGCCGGAATTTATGGGAATGTAAGAGCATACCTATAAGCTACCGATGAAATAAAATAGGAGATTAGATAATACATGGATAGATTGAAAAAAGATAATGAGAATAATAAAATGAAAAGAAAATAATTACTTGATGATGTGAAATTATTTGATGATGATGTTGATGATGATGATATATCTGAAGTTGTAACGAGGCAAAGAGGTACTCGAACTCCAATATTAAGAGAGAGGGTTATAAATAGTGGTGGTAGTGTTGAAAAAAGAACACCTCTCTCTAAGGGGCCAATGGATGTTGTTTTCACCCCTAGCCCCAAAATTGTGGTTCAGGAGAGAAAAAAAAACAAAACAAACTACAATTGAAAATAGATACAACCAGATGAATTAGATTCAATTCCTCCATTTGCATGCTGACTTACATGCATATGAGTTAGATACAATTGAATCTCACATGTAACTAACTCATCGTCCGATGCAATTGAATCTCACATGTAGCTCATCGAGGAGGAGGCTGCTGACTCAGAGGAGACCGAGGAAGAAGAATACGTGGAGGCTGTAGAGGATGATATTGATGATGCACATAACGACTCTCAAGATGACTTATCTGATTAATATTTGAAAAATTGACTTCAAAATTGTCTGGGATGATTGTATTAACTATTAACTTTTCTTGAACTTGACTTCAAAACTCTTTAATCTTCATGGAGACACGGACTTTTGGTTTGTAGTATCACTATTTTGTAATTTTAGAGTTTGTGGCTGCAAATTTGTGCTTATAGTTGTTGATGGTTGAATATTTTATGAAGCTAGTTTCAAGTTTCTAGTTTCTATTAGGGGATAGTGGATATAGAATCTTCAATAGCTAATATTTTTGGTGTTAATCATTAAACTAAAATACCTACTATCACATATATCACCTCCATATTTTTTTCTATGCATTAACCTATTTTTTTAGATTTTTTAGAATTTTTTTATATTTAGTGACCCCATCGTCGCGATGCATTTGCATCCAGACCGCATCGAGTCACATCGCCGCATCGACCCCCCCACCGCTTTTGGCCGCATCCTGCCTTTTAAAACATTGTTCTGATAAGAGATGAGTCTCGATAATAAATATATTTAAAACCTATCATCTCAGATTTCAATTCATAATATTGATGTCGTATGAGTGGCTGAAAACATTAAAAGCCCATATTCAGGAAAGCAACCAAAACGATTCAAAATTTGCGAGTGTGATGGTCCAAGAGAGAACAATGGCAGACTGCTTTCAGGAAGCCTTCAATGTCAGTCCAGAGATTGTTGGTGGTTTTGTCTTTCCTATAAACAAACAGAAAAGGAGAGAGTACATAGCAAATTCTTTGGCTGTGGATTGTTCAGTAACAGTGAGATAACATAGTGGAAGAAATACATTTGCTGCATTGTGCAGTTTTGGATATTTTGGGAGGTTGCAGCAGATCATAAGAAATGAGAAGGATAAGCATTTGGATTTCTTGAAGCTGTCACAAGCAAGAATGAAGTCTCATGGTACAAATCTGCTAACCATTTTTCAAGCTCCTTTTATGGCATTCATTGTGAGTTTGTATTATATGTATCCTAATTATTAATGCATAAGGAGATGCATTGTTTTAGAATACTTGGGAGTGGAGTTGACCAAATTCTCTAGCAATTTCCAACTTTGTTTCTCCCGATGAAACTAGATTTGCTGATGTGCGGATATGGTCAAGATGCTTAGAAGCAAAATTGACGGCTTGTCATTGTTCATTTGGAAATAAAGCAGAGGTGTGCATTTTGATTTTTTATCCACTTTCTGATACTCGTATTTTTTAGAAGAAATGTTGTTTGCATTTTAGACTGAATATTAGATACATCAATATGTGGGCATTTTTGGGATAGACTGTTTCTCATTTTTTATTTGAGATACTTTCGATAGAGAGTCCTGTGATACATTCTCTGGGCATTTAATGTGCACCCTTATGTGTAATGGGCCGCAACATAGGCCTACCCTGTTATCAGCTCTTGTTTTGAGCAACCCAACCATATCAATGAAACATGCCTAGTTTGGACTTGGGGTCCGGTTGTCCCCTTTTAGTAACCTATACCTTTGAACTTCTATCCAATATGGTTTATGTATGAAGGTCAAGTTGGCCAATCAGATCTGGTATTAACCTGATTTTATCTTTGTTGGTTTTTGTCCTTAGTGCAATTTTCTATGGTGCAATTTTCTATTGATTGGACCTAGTTTAAATTCCTGACCGATTTACTTAATTTGAGAAATTATTTTCAGTTCCATCTTTTGCGTACTCCACTGTATTGTGCTCCCCTAATTTTTGCAGAGCTGTCAGGGCGTTAAGAGCTCACAAAACATAGAAGATGTTGAAGAAAGCTTTGGACTTATTTTTAGTTCAAGGATCTGCATGGATGTGGAAATAGAAATTGGAAAGTTGATTTGTATTCATCCACCATGGTATGTTAAAACCATTCTTCTAGAATTCCTGAATTTTTTCGACTTTTGTGCAATGTGACTGGATTCTTGTCCTCCAATCTTCTGGCTTAATTGAATTTATTCTTTAGCTATTGGCGCAGCACCAGACACCAATATAATGGGCCACACACATAAAGCTGCTGTAATGGCAGTTTATGAGATCCAGTCAGCCTGTGTCTGCATTTGTGCACACTTTCTTGCCTTTGAGAGCTATGTTCATGTTACCCATAATGACTTGTTGAAGACTTGAAGTAGATTGAAGATTTTGTGAACTTAGAAGTGGCGGAGAATATTACTCTTTCAGTCAAAGCTAAACACCATTAATGTACCTATCTGCAAAGTTCCCATCTAATGATCTCGCGAAGAAGCAATAAAACTTTTACAAACTTATCTCTACATAAGTAAACACAGGAGATTTTAATGAAAAACAATTATGTAGAAATAGCGTTAAAATTCTATAGTACAAATGTTGAATTTTACATATTATGTGCCTAATAAATTGTTATCAGCCCACGGTTATGAATCCTTCGAATGTTTTTGAGAATTGACATGGTTCTTCCCTTTTCTAGACTTCGTTCTTGTTTAGTACTGCATTTTTGGACTTTACAATTTGGCAGCTTGGATTCTCAACTTGTCTTTGATTTGCCCTTTGAGATATAGACATGCATGAATGGTTTTGCCCACTGAAATGACTCCTCTGATTAGATATATTGTCTGGCATATCTAGAGAGGTGTTCTTTTACTATTAGGTAAATTCAGTCGCTGGTTATTTTAAATTATTTAAATGAAATCTGAGAAGATTGTAACAAAAAATGTTTAATTTGGTGTCCCTTACAGGAAAGAGGTATCAATTGCTGAGAATGAGAAGATGGTTCTATGTACATATTTCTACACTGTTTCAACATGATATGAGCATTTTTCACCCAGGAAGAGGTAAGAATTCAAACCCATTGTCGAGTTTCCTTCTGCTGGAATGAGAACTAAGAATAATGTTGACTTTGTATGAAATTCCTTTTATAGCATAACTTTTGTTGATTGTGCATAAATATGTTTGCGATGGACCTTAGCCTTCTTGCATGTGATGTGAAAAATACCCTTGGAATCTTTTTGCCGGCTTTCTATAGAAAATCATGCTACAAATTACTCCTAACCATTAATGTGCATAAATATACTAGATTTGCATTAATGTTTTTTTTTTGGGAAATCATTTAGTCTGTCCTGCATTTTTAGGGCATTAGGGCTTTTATTTTTGCATCAAATTTAGCACACGTATCCACTTGGACCAAGAGGAGTAAATTGGTGAGATAATTTCCTTTATGGGATTGTATATCATGAGACCATTTATCGTTGTTATAAAGAGGCACAATTACTCCTAACCATTTTATGTCAAATTTGATAGCTTGTGGTGTGTCATGACATTTGGAAAGTATATTTTGAACTTTGGATGTGGTCAATGTAGTACAATCACCCAATTTGATGGACAAGATTTATTGTAACCTCCTTGTACCAAAACTATATAGTCTCTTTCTATAGTTCTGACTTTACTTAATTTGGGGTCGAACGAATTCTTCTAAGGCTTTATTCTAACATTATTTTTTCTTTCCTATAACATTATTCTAACATTATTTTTCCTCCTAAAGAACTCATATTAAGGGGATTCATTTTACGATCTTCTTTGCCGGATCCAAGAGAATGTGCGTGTGGAATTTGTGGCGAAACAAAGCAGTCTGCCCATAGGCTGACCAAATATTCTTGCTTTTATTTTGCTACTTGAAAGGAAAATGTACAATGGAAGAAGGAGCTCACAATCACCTTTGGCTGGCTGGTGGATGTGAAAACGAGCTGGGGGTGGTGTACGATTAGGCTCAAAGTTCGAGAGAAGTTTTTTCGAATTGTGACAATTCCCAAGCAATCGGCTTTATATCTAATGGACATGAGTGATTGTGACCTTGTATCAAAAATAAATATTCTTACAGTGTACAATCCCTTTATTAAAACTAGTTGCAATATTAGATGAACCGAATGGTTTAGACATATTCTAGTCCATATGCATATAAAACCCAAATACTCGGATGGGTTTAAACTATCAAACCTCTTGTTTGGTCAATGGACAATCCAGTTTCAGACACACCTTAGGACACGTTTAAATGGGAAGACCTCTTTGTTTGGCCAATGTACAATCCGTTTTTGCCAAATTGTGATGGACATGCTTAGGACACCGTGGTTCAAGTTTGACGTTTCTAAAAAGCTATTAAATTGTTTAAATTTCAGAGTAATATTCCAAAATATTCATGATCCATATGGTCGTGGTAATGGCAAGATTATAGTAGTCATCGCTGGATTAATCAGTTGGCTAGTGATAGAGATTTTATGAGAAATACAAGTGGAAGATTGTTTGATGGGCCCCAGTCTTCCTCCGACGCTGTCACCCACATGTTAGATTGGGATGATGCTTATGATTACAATGTATGGAGCATGTACACATAGCACATTTTCCCTAGCTTTTACTTGATATTACCAGTAACGATGTTCCACATGAGTTGCACAGTATAAAAAAGGGAAAAGTATAAAAAAGTGAAAATTACGTAAATGTCTATTTTAGTTTTTGTTATTACCAAAATTTTGAATATTTTTCATGATTAATGATATGTCCATTTTTTGAACTTCGTTACAAGTTTTTTTTAAAAAGATGAACTACTTATTTTCTGTTTTTCAAAACCTGAAATTAGGCCAATTTAGGTATTTGAAAAACTGAAAATTTTAAATTTCGGTTTTTGAAAAATCGAAAATTTTAAATTTTCGATGAAAACCGAAATTTTAAATTTTTGGTGTTCAATAACTGAAATTTTTTTTCTCTTGTGGGTCCTTTGCGTATTTTTGCTCAACCTCTCTCTCTCTCTTCCGCCGAGAAATCAGTCAACGCAATTTATTTGGATTCTTGAATATCGATTGAAGGCGTTTCTTTTTCTAGGGTTTCCGTTACTTTCTTGAAAATTAAGTAGGTGCTTTCTTGAAAATTAAGTAGGTGTTCTTGTGAGCTGAGTTTTCATTCCCTTTTGGGTCGTTTCTTTGATTATGTAATTCTTGAGTTAATCATAGCCCTTATTCTAATCTTTAGGAATTGGTTGGTTCTGTGGTAGAATTTCATTATCTCTGAATTTTAATGCTAGGCTTCTTTCTTTTTGGTTTTTTTTCGTGTGTTTATTTTTTTTTTATTGTTTTTTTTTCTGGGGTTATATTGGTAGATTTTGCCTGCTTATTAAGAAACCATTTTTAGAATCATGTTTGGTATTCCATTTTATTTTGGCTTAATTTTTCTTAATTTATGTGACAGCTGCTTGGGAATCGATTATTACAGCTTTCTTGTCATGTACATGGTTTTCTCTGTTGATCCTTTTCATCCACTTTTCTCTATTCTATTTCCTTTCTTTCTAGAGAGAGAGATATATATTCTCTTGCGTGGTGTTGAGATAGAGAGCGGGAGGTTTTTCTTGCATTGTGTTTTGGTTTGTTTTGAATCTTTACATCAGACGTTGCGTTACTCCAGGATTTTGGAAACCCACCATGCCTTCGTGGGAGAGGAGTTCTACACCTCAGTGTGCGGCATCCCCTGGAAAAAGCTATGTGAAGCAAAGAAATTGATGGGAATGTACGCAAATGTTGTTCAATTGCTAATGATACTGCCAGTGAAGAAGCATTTCACAATGCTAGTGAAGAAGCATTTCAAATTGTGTAGACTGGTTTCTCGGTGGAAGAGAGAGAGAGGTTGATAGAGAATACGGAGAGGACCTATAAGAGAGAAAAATTTTAGGTTTTTCAAAAACCAAAATTGATTTGATTTCTGTTTTTGAAAAACCAAAAAATGGGAAGTTTTGCTTTTTTTAAAAAATTGTTATGAAGTCCAAAAAATGATCATATCAGTAATAATATAAAGTATTCGAATTTTGGTAATAAAGGAAACTAAAATAGATGTTTATATAATTTTTCATAAAAAAAAAATACCCATTTTTTAAAAATACCAACCAGTTTTTTAGAAAACTGCTTGGTTTGTTATTACTTGGCCGGCTTGGACTCAAAACCAATTGGTCATGTAATGGTTATGTTTGCGGGTGGGGGGCAACCCCCCCTAATAGATCCCCGAAACCAGGGCTAACCAGGATCGGCAGGTGCCCGGTTTTGAGTTGAGCTGGCCGATTTTTCTAACGTTGTCTTGAACTTATTTATGTGTGTGTTATATTGTTTTGACTTTTCTAGTTCTTTTGTATTCACTATAAACTAAACATTGTTATTTTGATTCTTCTATTTTTTTGTTTTTGTGTTTTTTTGGATTTATTGGATGAGAGAGGACGTTTTCATGTTGTTTCCATCTACGTTTTTTTTTTTTTTTTAATTGAGCATTCTCATCACGGATATCTTGATTTCTTTTTTTTTCTTTCTAAAAGTGAAAAGAAAAATCAGTCTCTCTTGCTCACTGTTTTTGGCTTTCATTTTTGTTTTTGGTTTCTTGCACTATTGTGTTTTAGTTTGTATTTCGTTAGAACTAGTTGTTGTGTTTCTTGACTTTTTTGTTTCTTTTTTTTTGTTTTCCCCTTTTGAGTTTCTTTTTCTCCTGGCCAATTTTATTTTACCTTTGTGATAATGGATGAAAGTGAACGTGCTTATAGTTTAGATCTATGTTTCTTTAGTTTATGGAAAATTGTTTGGTGTGTCCATGCCAGCACCTGTTACTACGCAAGCTTGGAGATCTATACTGTCTACGAAAACTGAGTCCCATAAATAATGGTCCTCCAAAGAAAAAGTAAAATCAATTGTTTGAATGTTTTCTCCAAATAATATCATTTATAGTTTTCAAAATTTATTTATTTGTACAAATTAATAATCTTTATGGGCATATTCCCTAAAAATTAGGATCAAATTCTATTTCAAAAATAAATTATTAAGGGGTCCGAATTTCTACATGTGAGTCCGTAGTCTCATAGAAACCGTGTCCTTTATTTTTAGCTTAGTTTTGGTAGTTTATTGAAAAGAATCCAACATATTCTTGGTTATTTATAGGTTAGATTTTTCCTTGCAAATTTTAAATTCTTTCTTGCATGATTTTGATATTATCTTATCAATTATATCTCTAGTGAAAAATGATCACAAGGATAATCAAATATGTTTGGAAGAAATGATTAAAAAAAATGCTCATTGTGTATTGCTTGTAGGACCGATACAGGAACACCCAATCGCATCAATATCAAATACGAGGATTCCCTACTTGATACATATATAGCTCACTAGGTTATGAACATATGAGTTTAATGGTCTAGATTGAATTTGAGCCGATCTGACGATTACAGATGTCGGATAGTGTTTGAATTTTATTTATTTTTCTATAAAGTCGAATTACTTGAAATTTTAGGTGTGTGTTCTTCTCATCAAGGTGCACAATAAAATAAAAATAAAATTAAAAAATTATTACGAAGAAAAAAA